CCTAGATGCCCTGACTTTGACTAAAATCTAATCAACTATGTTCAAACTCGTGGCATTATTAATCTAAAGTGGTAAATTTTGCCGGATTTTTGATTGCTGCATTTAATGCATTTTCATCTTTATTTACTTAATTTAATTTAAAAAACGTTTATTAATATACATTCTAATTTTTTCACGTTTAATGTAGGTAGGTACACGCAGACTGCACCGGTTTTTATGTAAATTTAGGTTGAGAAGATGGCGTTTTCTCCGAAAGTTAGAAGGTAGACATAGTTTTAATAAAGTCATTAAAAATCCAAAAGGCATTTCTTTTAATTAAATTAAGTAAATTAAAACCTTTAAGCTTTAAAACATTCCTAATGTACTTTTTGAAACGTAAAAATTAAGTTTTTGGATTTAATGTGCAATTTTATTATCTGTAGGCTTATAAAATAGTTTCCTTAATGGGTTTTAATGAATACATCCATAAAACTACATTAGAACTATTTGTTCCAGAATGGATTATTTTAAATCCAACTTGCTATTTAATCCTTAAAAATAGCAAATTATTTTTTAAATAGTCAATATTAAGACTATTATAAAATTAGTGTAAGATTAATACGAGAGTAAGAGCAAAAAGTGTTTATTATTTAAGGTAACTTTAAAACCAATTTCGTTTTAATGAATAATTAAATCACTTTTAAAACCTTATTATTAGATACATTTAAATTGTCTTAAAATTTTTACTTGGGACGGTATTTAATGAAAATAATAATAGAATATTAAGTATTTAACGAACGTATAATGGATATAATGATCGCTATTATTCATGAGAATTAAGTTTACGACGCGAGTCGTAAATCATTCGAGTGAATAACAGTTATTATGTGCTAGTAGAATACTATACTTTATCCACGATTGTTAAATATTTTTACGAGATTTATTAATAAAATCATTATTTAATTTTAAATTTTTTTTACTGGAACATAATTATTTATATTAAAAGCAACATTTGAGAAATTTCTTAAATACTTACAAGACTAGGACTATTTTCCTTCAATAATATGAGAGGAATATTTTGTTCTATTTTTTAAATTAGGTTATTCTTTCTAAATCGAAATATATGAAAGTAAATCAACGAAATATTTAGTAATTTATTTATTATAATCTTCAAAAAGAAGTGTTTTGTGCGTTGTTAGAACTATATTACTAAATGGGAATTTTTTGAATTAATATTTGAAATCTCAGACACATTAATTTTAAATTTTTTTTACTGGAACATAATTATTTATATTAAAAGCAACATTTGAGAAATTTCTTAAATACTTACAAGACTAGGACTATTTTCCTTCAATAATATGAGAGGAATATTTTGTTCTATTTTTTAAATTAGGTTATTCTTTCTAAATCGAAATATATGAAAGTAAATCAACGAAATATTTAGTAATTTATTTATTATAATCTTCAAAAAGAAGTGTTTTGTGCGTTGTTAGAACTATATTACTAAATGGGAATTTTTTGAATTAATATTTGAAATCTCAGACACATAAATGTTAACAATTTTTTTTAAATTATCTCCTATAATTGTAGTCCCAACGAACTGCATCTGCTTGCCAAGGTTAAAGAAAATGTTGAATAATAACAGCAACTAATAAACACCTCATTTATTTATTTATTTATTTATTTATTTACAAATGCAGGTAGACTTGGTACTAGTGTTGCCAGGTATACCATTTTTCTGGTATTTATACCATTTTTTCTACCTACAAGTTTTTGAAGATACCATTTTCCATTTTTTTACCATTTTTTAGCTACTGATACAATTTTACTACCATATTTTTAACTTTTAGATTTTTATATTATTCATTATAATAATACGAGTAAAACTTAGCACCTTAGCATCTGTTCTACTAACAAGCACCTAACAAGAATGGTCTCACATCTGTACTAAAACAAGACCAATAATAGACGATTACAAAAATGTATCTATTATGGGGAATTCAAAAATGAAGAAAAAATAATATGAGATCTTTAAAAAAAATCGATGACGTTGTAGCGAAAGATGTGCAGTTGAAAATAAAAATTGCCCAATGAAAGCATTTTGTTAAAATACTGTTAGACAGAAAACTATCGAATTTATTCCAACTTATACGTTTTCATTATAGATGTTCCTATAGGTTATAGTTAAAAATTACTAAAATATTTATAAATACAATTTTATTAATACAAAGGGTACTGAATAACTGGCAAATTTGCTCAGTTAACCAAAATTATAATGATTCTACCCACAAAGCACGTATCCTCTAGAGATCCCACGCCAATGTTAGACTTTAAACCAAATTAGCGCCACCTTGTGTTTGGAACAGGAACTAAACTGACAATTGACAGATGGTGGAAAATTCAAATTATATTTTTAGTACTAGATAGTATTTCTAAATTAAATTTTAAATAATTTTCACATAAATTATTTTATAAAATAAAGTATGGAACTAGTAAATTCGAAACTTTTATTTTACAAAATAATTTATAGACCGGCAGATAGTGACCGATTTAGGTGCCCCATTTTCGCATACAACCCTCGAAAAGGGTTGTAAAGTACATCGATGTTGAGTAGAATGAAAGAAAATTTACGAGTGGCTCTAGATGATAACACATGGAAAATTCGATTTTCCTTATTAGAAAAATTTTCCGACTTCAAAATGCACTTATACATTCAGACCATTCAAGAAAATATATTTTTCGGACTAGCGACGATGTACGTTTTCATACATTCGATGGGCTTGTGTGGAAAAATCTGCTAAAATCTCAACCCTTTAGATACTTGCAACATTAAAGTCTTTATTTTTCTGATGCCTACTTCTATTAATTAATCATATAGTGAAAACGGCTTGCGTGGAAATATGGGCAACAAATAACCTTTCATTTTTGTTGGGGAAAATTGAATTTTCTATGTGTTATCCCAGGAGCCACTCGTAAATATACTTTCATTCTACTTAAAATCGATGTACTTTTCAACCCTCTTCGAGGCTTGTATGCGAAAATGGGGCACCATAACCTGTAACTATCTGACGGTCTATTCGGTCGATATGACAAATTTAAAGAATTCATTTGTTATAATGGGTTTAATTTAGAGAGTTGGTTCTGCATATTATTATTAAATAAATATAAGATATATCAAAAAATAATAAATAGAACATTCTTAAAATATGTTGATTAATAACTTAATAAATATTATTAAAACAAATTACAAATAATAATACATATTTAACAAATACTCACTTGGAGCAAATAGGTATACAATCTCAAATCTTTTAAATGTGAAGTAGAGACTAGAATATTACATTTTATTAACACTAAAGTTATATTTTATAAATGTCTTTTGACCTGAGGATAAATGTTATATAGGTATTAGATGAAAAGGTGAACCCTTTTAACTATTCATTTACTGATAAATATTTTCCTTCCAAATACAGTTGGTATACTCTCTTATGTGAAAAATGACTTCGAAATCTAGTCCAATGATAAATTGAATATCAATCAATTAGTTGTACCCGTTTGTCTGTTTATGATGCATGGTAAATCAATGAAGTTTTTCTCGAAGTTTTCAATGTAGCACCAAAATTATTGAAAAACACAGTTGGAAATAGTAAAACAAAACATCACAATTTTGCAAATAACTAAGAAGAAACTATAAACAGAAACCAAATGCTTAAGCCTAAAAAATCCCTAAAATCAAACGGAAAAATCAGAATAACCAAAAACATAAATACACGTCACATCTTTGGATTCTTTGTACTTATTTTGATCTTTATTTGTTCATTATGTGTGTAAAACTTCATTATTTGGTGTTATTAAGATTATTTAAGATATCATTTTTTGTCAGTAAAATACCATTTTTTTAAGTGTCGGATACCATTTATTTTTTTTTCATCTGGCTTGGTACGTAATCTGCTTGGTGTAAGTTGAAGATATCGTTGACAGGTGGCGATAGTATTATATGCGATTTAGATATGTAACTGTAGGTAATAAATAGTTGAATTATTTTAAACGAGTTTGTCCATTAGAGATTGGACTCTCTGGGTATGTAACCAGAAATTAAAAAAACTGGAAACTGGGGTCTCCTCGGACTCTCAGGAAGTAGCAAGAGGCTTCTTTGGTGTAAAATACATCATTTATCATATTAAAAAATCAACTTCTTTTTCTGACGATACACACTATCTCAATTCAATATTGATATGGTCAGAAATAATGTTGAATTTTTATACCCATAAAATAAATACAAAATATATCATTGTATAATTTAGTAGAATTAAATAATAAATGGAAATTTTTTTAATAAAAAACTACAATTTTAACTTGGTTAGCTTAGGAAAATCCTGTCTTCTGTTCTCGTTACTTATTTAAGATATTTTCTTCTAACAATAATTGTGGCTACATTAAAACATTTTAAATTAAAAATGGAATAATTTTGGTATTATAATACTAATAAGTAATAATAATAATAATAATAAATGAAAATAAGGATTTTTTTTAGAAAATAGACAAATATTTTAGAATCAAGCGCTCTAAAATTAAAAGGATTCATATTATTAATTAATTTCTTTTATAAAATGTGATGAATTATATAGTGTGCCGTTTAAAATTTTAAACAGTGAACTATTGGATAAAAATTATTTATTAAAAAATTGGTATTATTTTTTGTTTCGAATTTGATTTTATGATATCAATTCCTTCTGAAAACTAATGGGGTAACCTAATTATAGTTCTAATTCTGAGGGAGAATTAATATATTACAGAAATAAAAAAAATACATATGACTTCTCGTACTTTAAGAAGTATAAGAAAAAAATTGATCCTAAAAAATATTTTTATTGAGTCATTTAATTTAAGCTTTAGTAAGAACTACATACTTATGATGAAATACGTTAGGTATATTTTATATAAATATGCAAAGTAAAAAATATGTAGATCAATATAATATAGTTAATTAATGTTCTATAAATACGATAAATTTCACTTACCAATAATTCCTAAGAAAATTCCTAAAGCGGCAAAAACGGCCCAAAACCCGGCCATTTTTTTATCCAAAAACCACTTAGATCTTGAAAACTACGATATCTCACTCAAAGTCCGATTAATTTGCACCTTCGATGTCTTTCACTCCGGTTTCGCGTATGTTGGAATTCAACAAGAAACGGTGACTGTATACTCTCAAGTATAAGGCCCCCACTTACTATATTACCGTCACATTTACTTGCTCTCCCTATAACTCATAATGAGTAAAATGTTAAAAGAATCATTATAAAGAGTTATTGAGATTGCAATTTCGTTGTGCAAAAGTAGTTAATAATAATAATAATCTTCAATGCTTCTACAATTTTGTCATTGATCTATATTTATGTTAAATTTTATAAGATCGTATTTTTTACTGTTGATATTGAATTTATAAAAGATGATGGTTAATTCTGATTAATTTTAAATTTTAAAGTTTTTATGCTATTCAATCCTTGTAGATCACAAAACATTATTTTCTGTTAATATTATTTAAATTATTTTGTCTCGAATTTAAAGCTAAAAATATCGTCTAAGGTTGGATTTTAATGTAAGCGATGTTATCTTCCTATTGAGCCCACAAAATGGGCTATGATATTTTAACAATAATTTTAGTTTGAGAACCAAAAAGTTTTTAATTGCTAGTTAAAGATATTGCTAAATTCAGGACAAAAGAAACTTTACAATAGAATCGCAATCGTACCAGAGTAATAAATCAAAATTTTATGGGAGTTTTACAGCACAGGCGGCTCAAACAAAATATGTGATTTTAAACAGCCGGTAGTTAAAAGGTGTGGTGATTTTAAGAATTTTTCCTGTGCCGCCCGGTTTAAGTGGAACGTAACAATGGACTACCCTTATTCTAATCCCTTTTAAGACTCTGATGAGCGCACGGTTGGGTAAATAAGGGGGGTATTTGTTTGTATTATTTTTTTGTTATTATTTTAAACTTAAATAATTATAATTTAACCGCCGGGGTGCTTGTTTCAGGTTAGTCCCCTCGCCAATCACTCCTGAAAAAAAAATTATTTTTTTTGGTTGGCTAAGGCTAATTTTTTGTTTTTTGTATTTTTTTGGTGGTAAGAACTTGGTAAATTCAATATTTTCACCACTTTTGTGACATTCTCCGGTTTTTGCAGTCTTGCACGCTTTTATGATTATAACATTTAGATATAAAATAGATACGCTTACCTACTCTCGAAGATCAGGAAACGTGAAAGTCTGTGAATCACTATATTCACTTAATGAGTCATTATTTACTGAAATTATTAAAGGTGGCACTGTAGTATCGACATCCAAGATTTTGTCCAGATTCCATATGTTTTCTTCTTTTTTTAACACATGCTCGATTGCTTTTTGCCAATTTTCCGTTGCAACAAGTAATATGGAGGTTTCTAACAATGCTTCTACATCTTTTAATTTAAATGTCGTATTATGTCGACCTTTAACTTGTGCCCATATCAGTTCGATAGGATTTTGTTTGCAGTTATAGGGAGGAAGACGCACAACATCAATACCATGTGTTTTTTGCAAGTTCAGCCACTACATAACGTACTTTCACTAACGTATCATCATTCAGAAAGTTTTCGTGTATTCCTCCCCAGCCTATAATACCATAGACTAATAACGATTGTACCAAAGAGAAATACATGAAAATTAAAAAAATCTTTTAAATAACTGAATTTGGGCAATAATCCTCTTATTCTTTTAATAAGTTGCTTGGTATGTAAATCCCACCTCATATGCCTATCTATAAGAATTCCAAGATATTTTACTGAAGTGGATTCAGGGATTTCTATATCTAGGCCTACTTTTAAAGATCCCATGGAAGGAAGACCACTAGTATAGGAGCTAAACGGTAAGTAGCTTGTTTTTGTATAGTTTATTATAAGTTTATTACATTGAAGCCAATTTGCTATCCTCGGAAAGTCACTTTCAACGTTTTGTTTTAGGTTATCCCAAGAAGACGAAGTGTATATGACAGCCGTATCATCCGCGAAGCTAAAAATTTGGCCAAGTGATTCCAAATTGAGATGACTATTTATGTATACAGAAAAAATGATCCGGCCTAACACGGTTCCTTGAGGAACTCCTACAGTTACTGTTTGTAAATCACTTCTAGTATCTTCAATTTGAACGAGCTGCTGCCTATTTGATAAATAACTTTCAAAGATGTTATATGATTTACCCCTAACTCCATACTTTTGCAACTTTTCTAATAATTTCACATGACACACAGTGTCGAAGGCTTTGGAGAGATCTAGAAATATACATAAAATGGGTTCTATTTTTATCCGAAGAGTCTTAAATTGTTGATGTTAGTTTATAAATGGCATCCTCAGTTGATCTATCCTCCTTGAAACCAAATTGACGATCGGATAATATACGAAATTTGTTTAGAAATTTGCAAAGGCGTATTTTTAAAATTTTTTCGTACGACCACTTATGAAAGTGACAAATATCCCATTATATAGTCCAATGGAAAGTGCCCTATATCACACGTGTATGAATAAGAATTTATTTTCCACCCGTGTGTGAATATGCTACTTTCCGCATCAGCTGTCACAAAATGTGAAATGCATCATTTCCATTTTGATCTATGTCCATATTAATACTTAAATCGATATGATTGTTAAATTATTGAAATTGTTGTAAATTAGATCCTAGATATTTATCTTTAACAATTGTTATTAAAATAATTTTAAAATACCTCAGTTATGTTTGCCTTTTATTCTGCTTAAACACATAACCGATTAGATCATTCAATTGACGCAAGGCCTATTAGCTCAGGTGGTAGAGTATCAAACTTTATCAACTTTGCCATTTGAGACCTGGCGAGCGACCGCGTTTAAATCCTAGCCGGGGCAGATTTTTTTTTGTTTTTTTTGTTTTTTTTTTGTTTCGAAAAATATGAAAATTGAATAAATACAATTATTTTTGATTATTTTTTTAAATACATTTTAATTATTATAATAATAACAACCTGGTTTTACATTTTTTGATGAAATTATTTTGTGATCGTAGAAAACATGTTATACACCACTTGTATGAAAATTGATTTTCCATACTCGTATAATGTAATATACTATTTCAATTATTTTTGAAATAGTTGATAACAGCGATATTGGTCGATAATTTTCTAATTAGAAATGTCAGTGGTTCAACAATTTTGTAAGCAATTTGTTTTAAGTCTCTGCACGAATTTCATCCAAACCTGGAGATTTTTAATTTTTTAGATTATTTATTATTTCTAAGACCTCCGGTGTCTGTTGGAAATAGATACATAGTATTTTCCAAAAATCTAAGTTATCTTTATAATTATTCAGATCTGATATTCTGTCAGCTAAATTTTCTCCAATTGTATTAAAGTAAGTATTAAAGTGATTTACAATTTCATCCGTTTTTTCAAAAGCTTAATTTCCTTAATGTTTTTATTTTGCTTTTGATTACCGCAAATATCTTTTAGGCATTCCCAAATGGCTTTAGATGTATTTTTATTAGCTTGAATTCGTCGAGAAAAATATGTTCTCTTGGCTTTTTTAATTATATTATTTAATCGATTATTATAGTTTTTGTAGTGTTCTTTTAATTTCATATTAGGATCTACAAAACTAAAAAGTATGCTATTGCGTTCAACTGAACGAATATATTTCTTATCCATTCTAGATAGTGAAAACACTGCAAAAAAAAATAAAATTAATGAAACTATACCTATGAAACTAATTTAATTACGAGTATTACAACTAAAATCTTAAAAGTGGCGGTAAAGATGAGGACAGAGCATCTGCCTTCCACGCAATAAACCCGGCATCGAATCTGGTCTGGGGACTAATTAAATTGTTTTTATTTTTTTTATGTTTATTTTATTTTATAAATTAGTAAATTTCATCAATTATTTTAAAATTAGTTATTTTTTCTTAATTACCTTAAATAATTTCTAAATTTGTAAATTTCCGTTAGTGGGCCGTAGAAAAAATATACTGTACAACTCGAGTGGATTGTCCATATCGCACTCAAACTTATTGCTTATTAACATTTATTATGTTCGTTGTATCGTACAATTATTTTCGTAGAAAACAGCCTCTTTTAAAATACCCCCATGTTACTTTACAGCAGCGTTACTCAAAGTGTGGTCCGCGGAGCCCTGGGGCTCCACAAAGCCTTTGTGGGGGCTCCGCGAAGAAAATAATAGTCATAATAAAAAAAAAGCAGTACCATCGCTACAAAAGGCAGGGACTCCGCTTTTTTTTAAGTTAGAAGTCACTAAGAGGAAGGAGGATATGATTTTGTTTTTTTTTTGTGGAGGCTTCGCGAAGAAAAGGGAGGGGCCTGCTTCGAGGCCTGTTTTTTTTTAGAGTCACTAAAAGGAAGGACGATATGGACCTTACCTTTTTTTTAAAAATGTGTTTGGGGCTCCGTCAAATATTTAGCATTTCAAAAAGGTTCCGTCACCAAAAAAGTTTGAGAACCACTGCTTAACACTACCCTAATATAGCATTGTATCTAGGGGTGGAGACAAAATTTTATGTTTAACATGGCTGAGAAACAGATTTAGTGCCTTTGCTAATTTCAATACCTGCTCAGCTTTTGCAATTAAATGCTAGCCGCACCAGTTAATCTGTCACTTTTTTGTGTCGTAAAACAAATAGCAATTTTGAGTAGACAATTTTAAAAATCATAAATAATAATTCTTCCAAAAATTCTTAAAAAAGAAACAGTTTCTGTCAATATTGTGTACCACATAATATAAGTCAAAGGTCAACTCTCCATCATTGTTATTCCGCGCATATGTTTCCGCGTATATGTAAGAACTTCGGAGAGAGAAGACATTGTCCTCGATGTCTGTGAAACTTGGAAATTGCTTCTTAACAGCCAAATGAATGCATAATTTGTGCAACACAATCAAATGGATTTGGATTTACGACGAGAATAATAATTAATTATTGTACCTGATATTAATGATAATTCAGTAATATACTATCAGATACGAAGTAGGGGTGAGAGGGTAATAATTAATCCCAACATTCATTTAATATACCAGGTGTTCTCCACACAGAAACTTAATAATAAATAATTATTTCTCGTGTTTTTGAATATAAAATCTTGAAGGCACTTAAGATGACCACATTAGGGAAAGTTGGATACCCTTCTTTATTTAAAATCTTGAAGTGTTGGATATAGAGGGACAACATACAGGGTATGTCATACCGCACACCGCCCCAGCCACGCCCATTCCAGGATTTTATATAACACCATGTATTTT